ACACTATATCGGATTCATATCGGTATCGGCAGATATCCAAATTTATGATATCGGTATCGGTATCGGACATAAAAAAGTGGTATCGTGCCATCTCTAATATATATATATATATATACACACACACACATATACATATGTGTGTGTGTTAGTCTGTACATTAAATGCATGGAACATATTGAAAGGTTACCTATATTAAATGTATATAAACATACTTCTGACAGAAACATAAACTACTTATAACACTAACAGTTTACAAACTTATACAGCTGTACAGCATTCTGGGTAATGTTAGCCAGCCAGGTAGCATAACAGTCTATTAACAGCTGGGAGGAGCTCTGTTAATATATTGAAGACTGATGGAGGATGAAGGACTGTGTTTACAGTATTTCAGTTTAAAAAGTTAAAATATGAATTTTGCCTTGATTTCTGAACCTGATTGTTTCTGTGCTGGATTTTCACTCAGCTTACGGCTCAAACAGCCTCCAGACATATCTATAGTCATGTGATTCTAGGATCTCATGTTACTAAAGACTAGCAGGGGTTATTCCTGGAGACATAAATAATAACTCTAAATGGAGATTCCTTCACAGCTCTTCTGTAGAAACATTAATGCTAAAGACCCATGTGCTGATTTTGTTTAGAAACAGCTGAAAAAATAAAGCGGGATTACTGCTCTCATGCCCCTCTGAAACTCTCTTTGGCCTTGCATTAGTGGTGCATGAGTCTTTTGGGTGTCACGTGGGCTTAAATGCTAACCGTTTACATCTCACAAGATATGGATATAGGAATGTTTGACTAGTGAAGGTCGGAACTGTCACAACTGTGTCATAACAAATGAACTGACAAGCAGAACAGACACCCTGCTGAAGACTGGCATTATATCCCTGTGTTGTACATTTAACGTTTGTTAACAGAGCTTAAGAGCGGATTATTTACCGTTTTGGTCGTGTGGTTTCATTTTAATTATGTTTTCTTTCTTTTTAAGTGTTTTATACTTTATATACTCCTGGAGGAGAATGGGCCACTGTAAGCCTATATAAAGGCTCAGTTACACCAATATATTAATAATACTACAACTACAACTTCTAATAATACGGAGATGTACTATTGAACCTCTATAATCTTAAAAATACCACAAAACAAAAATTTTGCTCATACCTTCCCTACATCACACATTGGTTTGCGCATTAACATACTGGAGGCTCTGGTGTGAAGGTGCTCAGTACCTAAAGATACTGCACACACAGTAGCTCCTTGTAAGTCACAAGGTATTTACGCTCTACTCATAATACTCAAAACGTTTTTCTAATTTTACAAAATGAACCTCACGTTATACTAAATAAGACGTGTTCTTTTCTATGTTCTTCTGTTGTCCTAAATCTTTAAAAAAAAACAGTTTATAGTAACAATTCAATTACAAACAGTTAGATGCTGGGCTAGTACAGGAATAGTTGTAATTTGTGCTAAAAAAAACAAAAAAACAAAACATAAAACATAAAACAAACAAAACAAAATACAATCCCTCATTTTCAGAACCAAAAATGGGGGGAAAAAAGCCAACTTAATTCATGTTGAAATTGTTTGATTCATACTGGGGTTCACCTTTTTCCATCTGGACAAAGGTCTATGGTCGCAAAATGTAAAACAAATATCTTTGTTTCTGCAGCCATCATTCAGATCAACAAATTGTATCTTCTATTCCTTTGAGCTGACATAATGTAACCTGAAGTAGCCAACGGGCTTTACACGTGGGTCTACAGATTCCTCTGGAAACCAACCTACCGTAGCTTCATTGCAAACCCCACACTTCACCACGTGCTGGTGAATCTTGCCCTCCACAGAGATGAGGCTCTGACACACCCTGCAGCTGATAACAGGGGCACTGCCACTCTCTGGTGAGGTGAGAGGGGAATAGGGCGGAGGGTCCTCCCCTAGGAGCACCGATGGCTGCGTGGGGCTGGGGAATGGAGGGAAACCTGAAGGCAAGGGGAAAAATACAACAGTAGTAAGGACTAGTGAAGGGACACAGTCATAAGAGTTGTGCAGTGAGCTGGAAAAAGCCTAAATTCCCATGACAAATACCCTGTTATGATAAACAAGATAATAAGATTTGGTCTGGAGTTCAGCAGAAAGGAGCTTTAGAAGAAAAACACTCCTGGAATGCTGAGCGGGCTGAGCTTTAACAAATGAGGCTGGGTATTTGTGAAAGCCATTTACTCACAGTGTGTGAGTAAATGGCTCAGTTCCATCTAGAAGTCATATGCAGCATGCAGCTTTACTTTTACTGCAAGCAGCCCATGTTTCTCAGTTGATCTATTCAGGCACATTTGTCCCTTTCTAGGTGAACGATCATTGGTCGTCGCTCTCCTTTGCAGAATCCCTCGGCAGCCTCCATAATGGCTTTCTCACATGCCAATCAAATCAGGTGTTTCTCGTATGCTAGCTAGCTTAGAGAAACAGTTATCTAGCTTGTGAAGAAAATCGGCTCTCTTAAACTGCCAAATTATATGCACTAATTTGTGTTAAACCCGTAAATGAAATATAATTTGATAATAACGTTACCGAGCTGCATGACTGAGGCTTTGCGGATGGTTTGCCGGTGCTAAGCAGCGCTAGCTGTCAAGCTAGGTTAGCCAGTGAACACAGCGTTGATTCCCTCCTGTGCTTTCTTCCATTATTTTAAAACTATCGGTTTTATTCAAACAGTAAATGCTTTGTAGCTTTGTAGCTTTACACCACATACTGACCAAACACAATCACACTAGGGTGACCCCTTCTTGTTGTGATGGCTGAGCTAGAAGAAGAGGCTAATAAAAGCTAAGCTAACTGAGGGTGGAGGAGAGAGCACCATGGATACTCACTCGGTGGTTTGTTGGGCACACCGTACGGTCCCGCACCGGGGGACAACCCGCCGTTACCGCTGCCGAGAGCACCATCGCCCAGATCTGATAATAACGGGGACCTCTCGCCGTCCGCCATACCGAGAGCGAGGCGTGGGGATTAGGGGGGGAGAAAGCGGAGAGAGATTGCAGACCGATACGGTGTTGTATTGTTGTGTCGGAAATGCAGGCGTCACATGATCACACCACCACTACGACCGCTGCTGCGGTAACGATGCCCGGGGGTGTGGCACTGCTCACCGGGGGGTGCTACGAGTTGCGAATGTAGGAAAGTTACATTGGAATTATTTGTGAATTATTTACCCCCAGTATTCGATGCACCAGTATAACAAACGCAGGTAGCTAGTTTTTCTCTCCAGTAATCAATGGAAAATTACTAAAATACTCTACTTAGATACTTTTCTTTGATCATGGTAAAAATTAAACAGAGTCCTTCAGACACTTGACTTGAAATGAGGAGAATGAATGAACAATTAATAGTTAAAGTTTAAGCCTGCATGATGAAAACTGTCTATGTGTCTTTCTATATAAGTTGTTATTAGCAGTAATATTACTTGGAGTAATATTAGAAATAGTAGTGGTGGCGCTGGTAGTAGTAGTAGATTGATTGTTTCCAAAACGAGAACAAGTATAAAGATGATAAGAGTTAGTATGTAATTCAGTAAATGCAGCATCTCCATTAAGTTTTGTGTGAATATAAAAGTATTTTTTAAAAATGAAGGCTGAGCAATTTTCTTGTATATCATCTTCAGGCAGCACTGAGCTCTGGGTACTCCTGTATGGAGTTTGCATGTTCAAAACTCTCCCCACAGCCCAAAGACATTAATGAGGAAAGATTGACTGGTAATTCTAAATTCTCCTAGGTGGGACTGTGACCGTGAATCTTTTTTCGGTCACTATATATTAGCCCTGCTGGGATAGGCTCCAGTCCAGTGAAAAGTTGTATAAAATGGCTTCAAAAGACCCGAATTCAAAGATTAATTAAGCTGTGTACCAAATTAAGATGTGCACACCATGAAAGTCAGTAATAACAGCTACATTAAGTTGTTGTACTGCAATATACACTATGAATGGTAAATGTTATGCAGATAAAAGATTGTTTAAAAATAGACAGTTCCAGGTATCATGTTCAGTGTTCCTCAAAATAAGGGTTCCCCCAACCTTACACACAGTATGCTTGCATAATGGTGAGCAAAGGCTGAATACATCTGTACATGTTGTATGTTTTTTGTTTATTTTTTTATCAAATTTGCAAAAAAGTTTAAAGTAAATTTTTTCATGTTGTCATTGTAGGGTATTGGGTGTAGAAATTTGAAGTGAAAAATGAAAATAATCCATTTTGGAGTCAAGTATTTATTAGAAATCCACAATTTAACAGTCATAGAGGCTGTGATGGCACAAGCAATAGCTTAAACTCACAAAATTCATGAAGAAATTCATAGCAGAGTTTTTGCTGATTATTTCCCAATTCCTTTCTGGTTTTAATGCTTAATGTGTCAGTTTGTATAATGTTATTTGCTGCTAAATCATCCTTTTTCATTGCATATTGATGAAGTCCATAGGACGCTTCATTAGTAGAGTCACCTCCAGTTCCTCCCTCTCACTGAAGAACTGGGCCTTGCTCTCATTTTTGTGGACCGGATCGGGGAGATGGAGCCCCAGTTTGCTGAAAACAGATGGAAAGGCAGGTTAAAAAAAAAACAAGTAGGACTGAGGGGGGGATGATATATGTCTAACACTGAAAGACATTAAGAGTTGTGTGATAAAGCAATCAAAGCTCAGCTCTTGGCATGCACCTCTGATTAAAAGGAAATATCTGAAACAGGGCGCTTCTGGCCTTAAATGTTGCCTCTAAGTCTTCAGGGAATTAAAAATGAAAGCAAACATTTTCAAAGGATCTCTTACTATTTCGGCGTCCGTAGATCAAGGAACTTTTCTTTCACATCCAGTACCACCTCTTTTGCTTTAGTGTCTGGTAGTTTGATTTTTACCTACAAGTGAGGGAAAAGTTAGCATTGTTATTACTCTACACTGTTCACATTAATATATATATATATATATATATATATGTATCATTTTTATTTTAAAAACATTTCCCCTTTTTTATTCTTTAATTGTAATGCAAGATTAGGTTTTTAAAAATACTTTCCTCCTTCCAGTATATGTGATGCTGGGTTTTTTAGATTGTTAGTTGTTTCCTACTTTGAATATTACTTCTACTTCCACTTTTTAAAGGTTAACACACATTACACGTGAAACATCCCAGTTTGAGATCCTGAAACAGCTAGTGTACTACAGTGTTGATTTCAAAGCCGGATAAATGGTTGCATCATGAAGGGCATCCAGCATAAAATGTGTGCCAAATCAAATATGCGGATCTGCTGTGGAGATCCTTCCAGTAGGTGAAAGTACCTAAATAGCTGCTGTAATTATTGTGCCATATCGGTGATTATTCCAGAATCAAGCATCTTACTATGACCAATCTAAAAGAGTGAATGCACGTAATCTCAATATTTATAAGTGTTTTAACACAAACTATTTTAAATACACACTCCAAATATTATTTATTGGAAATCTTTTTACATATGTTTTAATGCATGCTCAATAATACAGGTGAGGAAATCCCAGAAAGTTGATTCTTTTCATTTGGATTTCAGTAGGAGAAACACTACATCACCCATCCAAGTGACTTTGTCAGTCTCAGCTAAATGCAGGTTTCCCCAACCTTACACACAGTATGCTTGCATAATGACTGAAACTAGCAGCATTGCTTAACAAAGAGCCAGAAGGTCTGTGGTTATGACAATGCGTGTTCTGATCATGAAAGCAATGGTGCTTTCTCTCATTATGCAACTGTATTGTTTATAAGTTTGGGGAAACCTGCTGTCAGCTGAGACTGAAGGAGTAACCCGGTGAAATGTTTCTCCCACTGAAATCTAGATGAACAAAATCAGCTTTATAAATCTATAAACAAGACTTTTGTTTAGATTTTGTTTAGAAGATTGGAAGTTAAAGACAATGAAAAAACACCCTGATCTATGATGTCTTCTTTGTAATTTGTTGCTGATCGAAGTATTGTAAGTCAGTTCATCTGTATTTTGGAGTGAAAATGATACAAACATACTAAAACACACAATTCCCTTAAATATACATAACATTTCATATTTACACAAAGTAACAGACAAAGGCAATCTTAGCAATTTGAGAACATTTTGAAGTATCTGTCAGAGATCAGGTGAACAGTAGAGGAAAGATAAACACTATTAGAAGCATTTAAATATTTTTTACATATATAGAGCCTGGTCACTATAGCGTTAACCTGTCTCACCTGTGCTCCTGAACATTTTTAGACTGTTCCTTTCTAAAGTCTAAAACTAGCTACGTCTTCAACAGAATTATCTGAAGCCAGCCAACATTTAATAGGAGATTCATGCCTTGCTGCTCTTGATCACAACCTTGTGCATTTCATTTTAGTATCAAAAAAGTGCACTGAGTGAAGTGTTAAGAAATCTTGTGACACTTGGTAAGTTACCAGCATGGCTTCACAACACATGGAGGATGGATCCTTTCTGCTTAATCCCAAGAAGAGATCCTCTGTTCCTACACTCTGCTTCAGGATTATTTCATACCTGCACACAGAGGTTATAAATGAAGCAGACACACTAAAACCAAACACAACAAATATCACATTACCAGACATTAAAAGGAGATTAAACTCAGAAACAGACAGTGTTTGAAGAAGTATGAGGACTCTTTTGAACCTTTAAATATCCGCTTTTCATAATTTTTTATGCTTTTTTACATCCACTGATCGTGTGTGTCTCTTTCTGCATTGCAGTCTTACTCAGGTTGTGGCCTTGGGTCAGTCAGATCATCATACTGTGAGCCTTCGGCCACTTCTTCTTCACACCAGATATCTTTGCTGTTCTTCTTCGTGTTTGCGGTTGACACTAATTAAACAGTCACATAAAGAGAGAAAGACAAATGCAGAAACAGTATGCTTGAATAAATACTTTTTTAGAGTGCTTATAATTGAAAAATACCTTGTTTTTCGTTTTTGGGTAGGGGGCCAATATGTCCGGGACCCAAACGTGCATATGCTTTCACATCCTGTGAACATAAACTAATATTAGTGTGGGGAGAGACTTGGCTTAATGGTTGCTGTAGTTGAAATACAATGATACATATTCTGTCCACTTCGTTTTACTCCATATTCTCCCTTGGTCCTCCCTGCCCACACCTGCAGACTAATAAACTTTACACCATTTTTCTAAATACCCTAAAATTTATATTTTTATTGAAAAATTATTTTTAAAGGTTCATTTTGCTAGTGTTGATTGATTATCCTTCCTATATACATAGGATTAAAATGTTGCTTTTTGAAAAATGTAAAGAGACTACAATTTCTGAGGAATATACTAAAGGCTAGTGTTAGCAGGGTTTTAACATGAACGCATGTAGATCTTACTTTACACTCATCTTCCTCTTCTTCATCCTGCTGACTGGACAACAAGGCAGACAGAGCCCGGAGGCTCTTTGCGGAAGATACCCCAAGACAATCCATTCAGAAAAAACTAATAAACAAAATAAAAAGCGCTGCGGACACAAACGAGGAGAAGAAAGCTGCTAAACTATAAGTAACTATGACAAAACAATTATTTTAATTGGTGCTAGTATACTAATTTTAGCAGCTCACGTTTGGATTGTTGACGCTTTCTGTTTCCCTGGAGACGCCAGGCTTTCCCACTGCCATGGCAACCAGTGACGTCGAACAAATTACGTGGCCAGAGTCACGGTTACGCAGATCGCCGTGAGCTAAGAAGCCTTGCCAGGGAATTTCTAATATCACGATCTCCTCTTGCTCTCTTTTTTTTTAATTGCAGCTTTGAGAATAATGCATACTGTACTGTATACGAGAAAAACTAGGCACTGAGAAAACAAACAACAAAGAAACAAAGACGTATTTTAGCACAGAGTTGTATAAGAATGAACGACTGCTTCATTAATGTAATGTCCCGCTGACTATTTAAATTTAACTGAAAGTTAATTCACGTAATGGTTTAAAATAGGTGTCATATTTATGCCTGAATGGGTTAGCAAGATGGCTGCTGGGTGACTTTTATAGGACGCTGTTACAGGCTAAATGCTTTATGCACTGTAAACAGCTTTGCTTTAGATTAGTCCGGCAAAAGTGCAGTCTAAATATCAGTGGTGTCTCTAAGATTGTAAATAAAAGAAAGAATGACTATAAGTTGTTAAAACTGTTTAAAAAGAAAGTGATGTAAGTACTAATAATTTCATCCAATTTAGCCTACCTCAGGTAGCAGACCTTGCCTTAGCTTTGACTTTTACGTGGAATATTTGAGTATCATATTATGAGGGCAGTGGATCAGAACAGCAGATATCCCAGTTAAGCACAGAGGACTTTATTGTAGACTACTAAAATAAAGCAGCTTGCTTAAGTCCTCATTCTAACTTCCTATTTTAAAGTTGTCATTAAAAATATAGTTCTTACAGTGTATTTAGTTTACCCATACCTTCACAATCTATCTTTAACAAGTAGGTTATTCCTTTTTTGCAACTTTATTGATAACGAACCCATTCAAACATATGCATGACAGGCAGTCAATTTATGGTGAAACTTTTTTAAACTGCATATCTTTGGAGTTCCATATAAAGCACGGTTTGGAGATGTGGGCACAGACATCATTACTATCTGTAAAGAAAGCCTTGTCCTCACTGATATACTTTATTCCTCCTGCCACTGTTGGCGCGCTTTCAAGCGTAGTAAAAGCGTTTGGGTGAGAATCAGAGAGGCGGGGCTATCTGCCTTGTCCCTCCGTGAATACCGTAGTGAATGCATGGCCCGCGGGGATCATGTTGAAGGTGACAGGTAGTGCCATGCCGGGAGCCCTGCGATTTTCACCGTTCACCGTGTTTGCTGCTGCCGGTGACGGCGAGAAGGAACCAGCGGTGGCTCCGTTAAACGTGGACGAACTGTCTCTGTACACCGCTCCCCCGGAGAAGTTTCAGTACGTGGAGCCTAAAGCCGGGCAGCTGGAGGAGCGAGTCGCCACCCTCAGGAAGTTATCGGAGCCGTACACTGCTTGGTGTCAGGTCACCTATGAGAAAATTAAACCCAAAGTTCAGGGGGTCTTCCAGTTTGGGAACGACGCATACGCCTATGTGAAGAACCCCCCGAAGGACTTCTACCCCCGGGCGGGAATCATCGGCTTTACCGGAGTCCTCGGGCTGGTTCTTGCCAGAGGTTCCAGGATTAAGAAACTCATCTACCCGACCACTCTCATGACCCTGAGCGCCTCTCTCTACTACCCGGAGCAAGCAGCGTCCATCGCAAAGTCAACCGGAGACTCCGTGTACGACTTGGCCGTGCAGAGCTACGCAGCGGCGGAGAAGATCCTAAACCCCCAGAGCAAAGCTGAGAAGGTCAATAAACCCGAAAAGAGCAGCGACTCCGAGACGAAACAGTGACGACCCCGGCGTGACTGCAATAACCGAGCAGTAGCCAATCACACAGCAGCTTTATCCCGATACTGTAAACTGAGCGCTTTCTAGACAGTGTGACTTTTTCATGCCTACACTTTGCACTAAGCTTCACATGAAACTCAGGCCGGGCAAAGGGAAGGGGGGATTTGCAACTTGAATGACTCCCTTCCGATTTGAATGTGTATTTATGTAGAGATAAAGCAGTGTCTTACATTAAAGTTGCTTTACCGCCTTGATTCTGTGTCTTATAATGCCACATGCACAAACAAGATGGTCAGCACCAAAGAGAAGAAAACTAATTCAGGATTTTAATAATCAGTCGTTTATTTTAACAATTTTGTTCAATGGGGTGACAAAGACCAAAGTAGGCAAGTCACATTTGATCTGAAATTGTGTATGTTTCAAGTTTTATTTGTCATATACAGGTAACAATTATTATACTCACAGATTTTAAACATATTTTATAAAATAGGTTTTGCTAAAAAGTCATTATCCTACATAAACTCAAAACATTTGTAGTATTAAGTACTCAGACCCATTTGCATTATACTGCTCAGTAATGCTGGATATATCTCAGCTTTATATTTTAATGCTTTTAAAGTAAAAACTTCAAAGTCATTCTAAAGCTTTAAAGTAAATGGTATGGAGTAGAAATGGCTAAAAACACTGAGTGGAAGTAGAAAACAGCATGACCCAGAAGTACTTAGAAGCACTACTTAAAACGACATACACACCCACCATGACATCACCTACTAATTAGTAAAATCTCAGCTTTGAGTTGAGCAATTTTGCTATTGCCAGCTTAGCATTCTGAAACTGGATACGCCAAAACAACCAGTGGTTCAGTCTGAAATTAAGCCCATGCTCATTGGGTAGCAACTTGCAAATAAAATGTCATTAGCCAATGAGCATTTCCTGGAAAATCATAATTTCTGACTTAGTAAATTTAATGTTTTATGAAATATAACTTGTGACTGAGCTCACAAATAATCAGTAAAATGTTGATGTTAAAAAGGACTGGAAGGCCGTTAACCTTATAATTCTATGTAAACCAAAGTCCTTTTACAGGCAGACGTTCCCACCGCCTGCTGACCTTCAGAAAGAATGAAAGCTTGAGGGGCCTCACACCCTTAAACTATGCTCATCTTTTACACCACAAATGAACTCTACTCAAAATATATTGGTGGAGGGCCAATCAAATGTCATGGGTCGAACAGCCACCCCATGTCCCCCCTCTACATACGCCCATGATAAGATATAAGGTCAGTTGCCTCCTTAAAAATACATTATTACAGATCAAGAATCATGAAGCCTGTAGTGCAGCAGGTTGACAGCAGTAAATGTGAGGTGTCTAATAAGCAGAAAGGAAACGTGTTAGCAGTATGATCCTTCCTTTAATGTTCATTAGCTACTTGTGACAAACCAAGCAGCCTTAAATTTAATTACCATCTTACCACAGGGAATGAACACTTTGTGACTGTTTAACATCTTTATTTTCATATCAGCCAAAAAAAAAAAAAAAAAAAGGTACAAAAATTAAATATGAATGACTTCAAAGAAACCCTCTCAGAGCAGCACCAGCTTCTCATTGAGAGCAATCTGTGCTTGGGTGAGGTTGGACAGGTAGGTCACCATCAACAGGTCCTGCAACAACAAAAGAGAGCATTTAGATTCACACTAAACTAAAGTGAAAGATTATAACAGCATAACAAGGAAACAAGATTAAAGGATGGCAAGTTTGGAAAGATAATGCCCAGATTAATGATGCAAAAATACTTCCATCTTCTAAAGCTTCTAATCCTGAAGTAAAACAGTATGATGCAAGTAGAGCCCAGAGACCATAAATAACCATAAAAACAGGAGGAGAGTTTAATTAAATGCCAAAAACAACTCAGAGCTCACCTAAAGCCTCTTATATAAGAGATATGACAATTCAGTTTACTCTTTTTAGAGCCAATGTGTTTATACGTGGAGAGAAATTAAGTACATTATTGCCACAACAATAAAATTTCCAGCTACTTCCTTGTCACAACAGGTCGGCACAGCGGGTTCGATTTGGCAGTTTATTGCCAGATGATCTTCCTGACGCTAGACTTGTGTCTCTACCACAATAATAAAAATAACAGTGTCTATTAAGCTAGTCTCTACTGCTATTTTTTAAGTGCCATTTGCCTGTCTGTTTAGATCAAATAGCAAAACAAAAACAGTAGCTGTCACTGATATAGTAACTTAAACACGAGCACTTACATTGATGTTGGAATTGAGCATGTTCTCAAAGTCCTCAGGTGAGATAGTGGGCACTTTGTTTACCAGATCCATCAGGAAACGGCCCACGCTGTTGTCTGCTGTCACCTTGCCAGACTGAAACAGAACAACATGAACTTCATAGCCATCATCAGCGCAAAACTTAATTACTGCTCAAATGTTCCCAGGTGACCAATATTAAGTTAAATTGGCAGGGATTTAATTAGAAAAGAAAAAAAAAACCCAGGGGACAAGTTTGTCTTGATACTCACCAGCACATCCTCAATGTATGCCAGCACTGTGGTCAACATGTCCTGTACCCTGGCTGCAGCACCACCAACCTGAGACAGGTCAGAGGTCAGCCCCTTGGTACGACTGGGGGTCACACGTGTTCGCTGTAGCAGGTCCACTAAAGAACAAATAGAGAGTATAATATAAAGTTTTCTTTCCTTTCATATGCACCCCAGCGAGTTGTTTGAGACACTGGGATTTAATTATTTGGCATTTCACAGATACTTAGTCACGAAGCATTTGTTTTCAAACAGTCGCCATCATTTATTCTTTGTATTCTTACCGCCTATCCTCTCAGTGTCATAGTACACATACTTGACAGACAGTGGGGTGAACATCACACCAACTGTCTTTCCTGGCACACCCATCTGCGCACTGTGTAGGAGACACACAAACACATTCAGAGAAGCACTTTCAGGCTGTAGATGATCACATAAACACAGGCGCTGACAGAAAGATCAGCCAACCTGACGTAGGCGCGGATGTTCATTTTGCCACTCTGCAGTGCCGTGTCCACGGTCAGGTGAATGGGATTAGAGGCCTCACGGCTGTAGTACTCGTGGATGAGCACTGAATGTTCTGTGATATCAAAGCCTGTGGCATACCTGTCAGAAAAGATGAACATCTGCTAAAGAATACTGTTTTTTCCACTTTTAACTTTAAATTGTTAATATGACCGACTGACGCACCATCCGATGATGACCTCTGTAGGTGAAACCCTCTTGTGAAGCTCATACATGTTCTTGGCAAACTCCATGTCCACAGCAACCTGTTGTCAAAAACAATGCATTTAAGCCCAGCCATGTACACGGTCTCTTAAACATTTCTACAGAATCATCTTTCACTTGTGAAAGAATTCAGTGATAATTACATAACTGCACATTACCTGCACATGTGATGTGACAATAAAAGTGATTTGATTTTGATTTGATAATACATGTATTAGTCATAGCTACCCTGTAAGATATTTTGTAATTCACTGTCTCACAAAGCAGGATTAAACATAGTAGGTGGTATCAAAAACCTTAGAAACTAACGATTTAGCCTCCACCCCATACCTGATAGCATAACACCACCTATAGTTTTCTGAGGGGGGTTGTTTCTATTGTTTACTCAGCTACTCAAAAGTAGTGCTTTGCAACACTATTACACATATCAAAATGAAGTATCGCTACAGTGACCCAGATCATATCCAGAAAAGAACTTCTTGTAACAGGAAGAATCACAATCAGAATACTTTATTAATCCCCAAGGAAATCATGTAGCCTCAGTAGCCATTTAGAAAAACTACCAGGAATTTATTCAGCCTGGTATTTAGCAGCCATATCGAAATTAAAACCTTAATGGACATTTAAAAACCCAGACTCATCTAATTAAAGACACAAAAGCACAAACACACAAGTTTGATAAATTTTAGTTATCTTTTTCTTTGTTGATGCTCCTAAGATTTTAATTCATGACTCTTTGAGTTTCGGATATTTCTAACTGAATAATGCGTTATTCTTTAGATTACTTGCTGAATGTCAGTTTCGTGTCTTGTTTATTACTCGATGGCCGATGTGGAATGGCTACTGTATTACTGGCCCTTTCCACTTGGCTTCAACATCAGCAATAAATAAAATTATGTTAGCTGCAAATAAAGAGTTTAGTAACATACCTCATCTTCAGATTCATTGTGAGGGACAGAGAAGCAGTTGGTCACCTCGATAGAGTGCTTGTCAATAGTACCTGAAAAAAGCAAATGTTTCAGTTCTTACATTATATTGTTGTAGCGACGAGCAGCTTCACTGTAAGTTAGCAAACAAGAGGATTCTCCATTAAATCGACAGTAATAAGCGCTAACATCAGCGATCTTTTCCTGTTGCTAAGCATCAAATGAGTGCAAACCCCACCAAAATGGAAAAAAGTCCAGGTGATTTGCTAACTTTTTAACTATATGAACAACTGAGTGGGCGGCCAGCTGTTACGAGTGATGCCGCTAGCTAACTAACAGTAGCTAATGCTAGTCAGCTGCTGAACTGAACCAGCATGTGTTAGCAGCTAAAGCTAAAAGCAGCTAACTATGCGGCAACTGGTTTCGTGCGAAATCGGTCCAAGCGGCGCAGGACAAACATATTGTCTTTTTACTTACCCAAAAGGGTTCCAATCACACGACTCGCTCCCTCATTTCTTCGCTCGTAAGAGTCGCAGATAGAAGCGAGAACGACGGGATGAATTTTCACAACTGGCCCGAACACCGACATCTTGGAAAAGGAGGGCAGACTACTGATCACACTGCCTGAAGAGACCAACTGATTACCGGCGTCATGGACACATATACCGCCACCTTGAGGCTGGCGGATAAATAGCGGTTAGTGAGAATAATGCTAATTATGATCAAGTCATTGATATCATTGTGATACAATGTTGTAGGACTGCATCTTCCTCTATAAGCGGAATTTTTTAATTAGTGAATTATTCTAACAAGGAGTCTGGTATAATAATAGTAATAATAATGTTATTATGGAAAAGCCATAAAAAGGATTGCATCACAATCAGACCATATTTAAAATGACATATACAATGAGCATTATTACATCCAATCTGTATGTTTATGTTTCTGCATTTTTGCATTGTTACTGCATCACAAAGGCCTTTAATTTCCCCATCAGTGAACTCTGCAGATGCTGAGGGTCTGACCGAGAGGAGGGAGAGGACTGTCCCTTCTGTTGTGGAAATGAGAAGCGTCTGAGGCAAGCAGGCAAACAAGCAGGCAGGCTTGATAGGGGCTGGGCTGATGACAGCATCCTCTACCGCTCCACACCTGACCGACTCCATCAGATACACAGATGATGGAGCTCTCCGCGCTGCCGGGTTATTATCCTGTTGCCTCCATTTCGCACATCCACTGCCAGACACATGTTCTGAAAAAGCCTTATCGTTAATCAGAGTACTTGAACTGTTTTTTTCGGGTTTGTTTGGGTGTGTGTGTGTGTGTGTGTGTGTCTTTAGCTTGGGCTGCCCGCTTTTTATTTTTTGTGAATACTGAGCGGTCGGATCGAGGTGGTCTTTGTTTTCCAGGAAAAGCGAACAAGAGTGGACTGATTATGCTGCGTCGCTCGTAAATACCAGAAATGGGTGTAATTGAACCAAGGTTGCGAATCCTGGCTCGTTCTTGGACTCGATTTTCGCCGTTCTTATGGCAAAACATCTGCCCAATCTGGGTCTTACACATCTACAAGTTGGTGCACTGAGCAGGTAGGATTTTACTCGTTTATCTTTGGTCTGTGTGACATTAAACCAAACCGTAGCTGAGCTGTTTGGTTCCTGTAGCCCTCTTGCCGGCTCACAGACACTCTTTAACAGAGGCTATTTCTGATCCATCCATCAGGCGTAGTGCGTCATCTTGACTGTCACCATCAGTCTCCTCTGGCGTCCAATCCGCCAGTTGTCCAAATGGACGCACATCATCCAAGGCTATAGAGGACTAGGACTCCATTTTACTGAGTAAATATTTCATCACGTCTCGTTATCCATGTATATATTTAACTCGGCTTCTTATATAGGACTTATGTAAGACTATTTCAACAGGCCTGCTGTATAAATCCAGCATATTTAAAATAGCACGAAGTGCACTTATACAACACACACGTCTGGGCCACACACACACTCCTAGCCCGAGGCTTTTTATGAAACATACAGACCAGTTAAAGTGGCTCTGATATGCATATGCCATGTCGTGCATCAGGAATAGGGGTCTTTCAGAGAACTAATTTATTCTACCATTGTGTCTAATTTCCAAGGACTTTCAAAGTTATCCATATTCAATCTGAAAATAAGGACTTATTCCTTTATTTTATTATTAAAAGACTTCAAATGAGACTTTGACAATAGTAATAAAAGCACAAAAAATGATACACATTTATTTATAGGTTTTTAGAATTTATTATAGCAACATCAGAGTTCAAGCACTCCTGTGAGGAGGTCCTGTTTCTTTAAAGAAATCATTTGACAGTGAATTATTGTGACAGTAAAACAGATAATCAATTCCATTGTTTCATTTGATCAGATCATTGTGTTCTTCTGCTTTATTCCAGGCTTCAGACAAGCAAACAAATGGTTCAGTCAATAGGTACTGGACAGACTCTGCCTTAGGGAGGATATCAATAACACATTAATACTCTTTACACGCTTACACACACACACACAAACGCACGCACACACAGACGTAGACCATGGCTCTGGAGAACTCCATCTTCCCCTCCCGTCCGGACTCGCTCTCGCTCCCTGTGGAGGAGAAGGTGGAGAGCGAAGAAGTGGAGGTGGCCACGGAGGTCACAGCCTCCACGGGAGTCTTCAACGTATCGGAGGAGCTGGGCCACGTCGTCACCACAGAGACGACTTCTTCCCTTCCGGACTCGGCTCCGGTCAAGAGATCGTTTCAGTCCAAGCTGGCCGAGCGGGAAGCCAATGCTAATCAGCACAGGAAGAAGACACAGGGGACGGAGAAGGAGAGGGGACGGTTCGGGTGGGGTGAGTGACTCTCAAGATGACATCTTGTCCTTGATCCCCCTTCTGTTTGGAACAGTGCACTCACTATGTTCTTTAAATGTTGTGGCTTCTTTCTGGACCTGCAGTTCAACCAGACTGAAATGCATCACTATTAATCTCTTTGTATCTGATAAAAATCTCGAGAGATTTAGAGATATTGACTTACTCCTGGATGAACATTTTCTCCATTCAGCCCTTCTCCTCCCCATCTGTCTCGCAGTAGTAGTAGTGAATCTTTTCTAATTTAGACCATACTGCAGAGCTTCACCCCTCAGCAATTTTGACAGTCTTGCTCATTAAGCTCTGCTCTGTTTGCTCCAATCTTTGCCGTACATCTTCATAGAATAAAAAGAAAGAAAGCCTAACTAGGGAACTAGGGAAATGTGCAGTTTATATGACCCTTCGGTGTTTTAACTCCAACTTGTGATCAAGAATTGATGTCATCATCGCAAAGGACAAAAATCCTACAAAGCAGAGCCAGACTTTTTTCGCAGAAAAGGCAGATTTTGTTTTACCTTAAAATAAGTCTCCATAGCTTGAGTAGCATGCACAATGATTGATATTCATTGATTAAAGCGTATGTGATAGCGGTATAGTGTCATAATTTCAGTTCTGGCTTGGTGCATCCACAGTAAAAAGCCTATAAAACAAAACAAAACACAGATGAAGTCCAGTGTTATAGCTTTTCTTCTCCAAGCGTTTGATGATGTTGTCCCGTCGCACTTCATCTGCTCTGTTTTATTCACCTGTCATTTTTCATTTATGTTTTCCCTTCTTCACCAGTCTGACTTTCCTTTGAGCCACGCTGAATCTCCCTCAGTAGTTTTGTCCCTTGCTACCTCCCTGTGTTTATGTTCATGTCTCTCTAAGTGCTTTCATCCAATTCTCATCGTCTGACTGCAGTCAGAGTTGTAGCTTTAAAAACAAAACATTTCAGAAAGGGAGCCTCATGTTTTTGAAAGTGTTTAATGGAACAATAAAGAGTTGTCTTCAACGCTGTAAAGGATCAAAAGGCGATGGCACTTTTCCTCCCATTTGTTAGCCTCACAGATTTCTAATCGGGCCCCTTCTCTTCTGTCTCCGCCCTTCCACCAGCCCGCACTCGCCGTAAGAGACAGCGCTACGTGGAGAAGAACGGTCGATGCAATGTGCAGCATGGTAACATGCGGGAGACTTACCGATACCTGACGGACATCTTCACCACTCTGGTGGACCTCAACTGGCGTTGCTCGCTCTTCGTCTTTGTCATGGCCTACGCTGTAACATGGCTCTTCTTCGGAGCCATCTGGTACCTCATCGCCTACTGCAGGTAAGATTTAAGATAAAGTCATGTGCACTAATGTATTTGGATCTCTTGCAATGTGGGAAATCACCATTTGATCTCCTGCTGAATTTGTAAGTGTGCTACCTTGCAAAGAAATGAACACTCTTTAATTTTTACAGTAGGTTAATTTTAATGGTGAGAGACAGAACATCAATGAAAATTTCAGAAATAAACATTATACATTGATTTGCATGATTTGCACTGAGTGAGTGAAATGAGTATTTGATCAGACATGACACTCAGTGGAGAAACTCTTGTGGGCAAACACAGCAGTAAGATGTTTCTCATAGTTGGCCACCAGGTTTTCGCTCATCTCTGGAGGGATTTTGTCCCACTGCTCTTTACAGAAACTCTCTAAATCATTTTGGCTTCTTGGCTGCCGCTTAACAACGCCAAACTTCATCTGCCTTTAGAGATTTTCTATAGTTTGAAATTAGGAAACTGGCTAGGCCACTCCATGATCTTAATGTGCTTTTGCAGACACTAATTTGTTGCCTCTGTGGTATGTTTTGCGTCATTATCATGCAGGAAAACTCATCCATGACACATCTTCAGTGTTCTGGCTGAGGGAAGGAGGTTCTTGTTCAAGATTTTATAGTACATAGCACCGTCCATTTGCCCCTTAATGCAGTGAAGTCATCCTGTACCCTTAGGAGAAAAACAGCCCCAAAGCATAATGCTTCCACCTCCATGCCTGACTGTGGGGATGGTGCACTTTTGGTCATACTTAGCATTTCTCTTTCTCTAAACATGACAAGTCGTGTTGATGACAAACAGCTTGATTTTAGTATCATCTGACATTTCTCTCAATAATTTAGATATTCACTGGCAAACTTAAGATGGGCTTGTACATGTGTGTTCTTGAGCAGGGAGACCTCGTGGTGTTGTAATGTTACCAGTGGTGCTTTTGGTCACTGTGCTCTCAACTGCCTTCATTAAGCTCCCTCCTTGTAGTTTTGTGTTGATGCACCACCTTTCATCCTCACCCCATGAGGCAAGATTGGTCTGATCGATCATTTTATATAGTTTCCACCTTCTCCCCAAGCTTCTTGCTGGTCTTATAGTCCGTACCAGACATTATGCAGATCTACAATTTTGTCCCTGACAGCCTCTTTGTGTTGTGGTGGAGATGCCTGAATGGGAGAAATTGAGTTCTGATCAGGAGTATCTGTAATTGATTGATTGATTGCAATCTGTTCTACATGGGCACAGAGCCAATCTGTGGAGGCCACAATTCTGGTTAGTTGCAGAGGATCAAATATTTATTTCAATCAGTGACATGCAAATGACTTTATAACTTTTGTTTGTTTGTTTTTTAGTTGTTATTCTGTCTCCATTACAATGAAATTACCATAAAGGTTAGAGACTATTCATTTCTTTGTAAGTGAGCAAACTTACAAAGTCAGCAGGGCATCAAATGATCATTTCCCACAGATTAAGTCCTGATCCATAGGA